CCCTTCCCCTTCCCATCATCCATCGGGTTGCCTCCTTTGCCCCCATCATCTGCCTCTCCTCCACCTCCTCCTCCACCTCCTCCTCCACTTCCTCCTCTCCTCCTCCTCCTTCTCCTCCTCCTCCTCCTCCTCCTCTTCCTCCTCCTCCTCCCCCTCCTAGGTGGCTCCGCAGCGGGCCGCGCGACGCCGCGGCATATTGCCCCGCGGCCGCCGCGGCCCGTGCCATTGCAGAGCCCCCAGCGCCGACGGCGCGCTGCCCGAGCGGACCCACGAGGTCGCGCTCCCCCGCCTGGCACTGGCGCCTCAGAAGGCGCAGGAGCCAGGCCCGTCAGGACCTTTAGAGAGTGAACGCCCGCCTCCTCCTGAACTACCACCACGGCAGTATGGCACCGACCCAGTGGACGACGTGCAAGCATTGCAAATCGTGGTGGTGGATATCGCACATGGAGTCGCGCGACTACTGGTGCTCCTGTGGCTGCCGAGGTGCTAGGCCCAAAGGAGACGAGCCGAAGGGCGACGGCAACGGAGGCAAGGGCAAGGGCAAGGACAAGGACAAGCTGATCCTCGCGGACGGTGGCGTGGGCTCCGACCAGCAGGGCTTCGCGCAGATCGCGACAGCCTTGCAGACGATGACGAGCTCCCTGGGCACCCTCCAGATCGGCAACAAGGACGGCGTCGCCAAGCAGCTTACGAGCGTGGCCACGGCACTACAAGCGGCGGCGAGTTCCCCCACCCAGGCTCCCAAGTCCCGAGCACTTCGGTTGGCAGAAGCGGCGAGGAAACTCGAGGACGCGAACAGAAGGTACAAATGGGCTTTCGATGCGAAGCAGACAGCGGACGAGAAGGCGAGGAAGGCAACATAGCTACCCACGGCCAGAGCGGACGACGTTCTGAACGCGGAGAAGGAGATAGAGAAGATTCAGCAGGAGGGGAAGGAGAAGCCGAAGAGCATCTTCGACCAGCTGCTGAGCGCGGACACGGAGCTGATCCAGCCCTCGGAGATCGAGATCGCCGAGGTCGAGGTTTACTTCCAGTATGACGAGGAAATGGACGAAGAGGAAAGCGGCAAGTGGAAACAGCGAAGAGGCAGGTCCTGGAGCATCTTCGACAGACTGCATCAACCTTCAGAGGCCAGCTGAAGGACCACTTACAGCAGGCGAAAGAGAAAGCACAGCAGGAGCGCGCCACGATCACCCAGGCTAACAAGAAGCGGAAGGTGGGCTCAGGTGAAACAGCGAAGGAGGCGCAGTCAGCTCCAGCAGCGGCCCCAGCCCCAGCAGCAGCAACCCCACCTGCGGGCGAGCCCGTCGACAGCCCCGTCAATGGAGCAAACGCCTTCCTGGAACAGCGCAGGAGGGCGGAGGCGGCAGCTGACGGCAGCGGCGGGGCAGGTGCTGGCTCAGGCCAGCGCTAGGGCCCACCGCGGAGGGGCAGGCGACCCGTTGGCGACGCCGAGCCCCTGGACCGCGCGATCTTTTTCGCCGACATCTCAACGTGGGGACCTACGGCCAAGAGCTGGCTCCGACGCGATGGGCTTCGACAACCTTATGATGCTTATGCGCTGCAGGAAACACACTTGGCACATGCACAACTCAATGACGTGGAATACGAGCTGCAGAAAGCAGGGTTCTCAGCAGTGTTCACGGCGGCCAGGCAGAGCGAGAAGAGCCAGAAGGGGACCCACGGCGGCTCAGCAGTCATCACCAAGGGCCACCTGAAGGCTACCTCGTTCCGCCACAAGGCACGGGCAGGCACGACCTCGAGTGTGACTACTCATCGCGGGCCGTGCGACACAGATATGATCGACTGGACGCCAGTCACGCTCCATTTGAAGGGCACCTCGCTGCTCATCCTCTCCCTCTACTTGGACCCGAACGCCTCCCTCGTCGACGGGGTGAACGCCAGGAAGTTGACCTCGCTCGCGGCCTTCCCCCACACTACCTCCACGCCGTGGATCATCTGCGGCGACGTCAATTGCGAGTTCGACGCGCTTGAGAAGACAGGGTGGCCGACGGCGCTGGGCGCAACGGGTGTTGTCCAACTGCCGAAGGGCCAGAACACGTGCTTCTTAGGTGACGCGACCCCCTCGAACATAGACTACGCCCTGGTCAACTCTGGAGGCCAGCGACTTGTTCGGGGTATACAAGCTGTTCACGATGTACCTTGGAGACCTCACGTGGGCTTGGTTATTACAGTAAAGGCAGCAGCGCAGGTGAACGACTGCAGCAGATTATGCATGCCGAAAGCTTCCCCCACCCCAAGCTGCCGAAGAAGACCAACCCCAACAGCAAAGCAGCAAAGACGAAGAAGAGGAAGAAGAGAGCATCGCTACCAGTCCTGGACGAATCAGCCCACCCCTCCGACGACGTGCCCTCCGAGACCGACGCGATAAGATGGGAAGCTCTTGGGCCAGACGGATGGAAGCGAAACCAGACTGGAGCGACCGCAGACTTTGAGACCAGTGGACCCGTCCCAAGACCAGTCGCACAAATGGACATCGATGACATAGACCCCTTCGGCGACCTGGACGCGAACCTTATCAGCATGGACAGCGACGCACTCATGCCCGAGGACGTCGACGGGACTTGGGATACACCAGAGTCGAGGGATATTACGGGGACACTACCAGGCAATATCTGGGGCCAAAGGGAGGAGCAAGGCGAGTCTGTCGTCGAGGTGCCTTGCCTCCATTTGGTCCCACCTCAAACTGTCGCTTCCACTACTCAAAGGGCGGTGAGCACAGATGAGATCATGCACGACTCGAATTCAGCCACGACCAACTCGTCGGACCTGTTGAAGGAAACTCAAAGGGCTACTTCGCAGACGATGGAGCAGCGGATCGCGGCCAACGCAACAGGGGTGGGCACCGCAATCATGGACGATACTTGGGAAGTGGCAGCACAACTACAAGCCTTGGAGTCGACTGACACGGCCCCCGAGTACATAAAGCAGAGTGCAGCATACAAGACCGACCCGCATGGAGCTGAACGACTCGGGCAACGTTATCATCAGTTCATCGGCGGTCTAGAGAAATTCTATTGCATGGCCTACAGAGTGGACTTGGCAGACAGATCAGTATTTTGCGGACGTGGGCACCCCTACGAATTCAAGGTAGCGCCGCTGAAAGAAAATGGAGACCGACGAGCACGATATGCCGCACATCGTACAGACTGGTGGAACAGGGCCGACTCCGTGCTGAGCACCCTGGTCAAGCTACAAGAACGCGGACGAGGCCTTCAACAGCGAGAAGCTCTTGCCAGCGCAGGACGACGCCTCGTTCGGGAAGGACTGCCTCCTGTCGGGAAGGGCGCCTCGCACACCGCCATGCTCCACCAGCAGATATGGGCAGATCGAATGGCAGCGCTTGAAACGGTTCCACTGGAAACACTCCAGGGCATGGCAACACAAGCGGCACACGAGAAGCGGATGGCCATCAAGCAAGACATGCGGGACAGCAGTAAGCAGTCCAGCCTATGGTTGACGCAGGCAGAGAAGACCATCGGAGTTTTGCATCGGATCACTAAACCGCCACCCCGACATGAGCATGAGATTCATACAGAGAACGGCACTGTCTGCAGCCCGAAGGACATGGTCGACCAGAAAGCTGTTGATTTTCAAAAGATATGGACATGCGCGGATGTACCCCATACCTCGCACGAAGGTTACTTGAAAGAACTCAGACGAGCAGCGCGAGAAGACGATGAACACGACCCCTGGACCATCGAGGACCTGAACAGGTGCTTGAAAGGCGAACCCGACAAGGGAAAGGGAGTGGACATGATTTGCCCGACGGACCTGAGAAGATTACCCACCGCAGGGAAACAGACTCTTATCAACCTCTTTAACCAACGCGAGCGGGACCTTACCTGGCCGTGGCAGTTGTTACTTTCAGTGGTGATGGTTATGCCAAAACCGAGCAAAGGAGATAGAGCTCTTGCACTTCTTCCACAATTGTTTCGGTGCTGGGAGCTAATTCACAGA